ACACACAGACAGCAGAAGACATCGCGGCGCGTGTTGGTATGCTTACAAGTCGCTGGGGACGTGTGTGAGTTTGAGTCTCTCGGTGGCGTCCTGCATGGCGGCTGACGTCAGCTGCATGGCTGTCACCGCACGATGTACTGGCCACCCGAAAGACGGATGGCAAACCCCTGATGCAGCGGGGGGACCGTCGGCAGAGAGGGCAGCACTGGACCAGTCATAGAAGACCTTCGGTGAGATGCGCCGTTTCTCCTCCTCTTTGTTGATGAGCCACGACAAAAGAGGGCCCGTGACACGACCGGACATCACGCGGGCTGAGGGGACACAAGCAGCCAGATGGAATCGAGCGTGCTGATTGGATGCTCTTCCGTTGCCTACCGATAGCCTTTTCGCGGTCGGTGAGGGCCGTGTATCTGTAGCCGACTTGCAGCAGGCCATACCGACATATCTGCGCGGCCAGCAGAATATAATGCGCCAGATTGGCAAGAATGACAACCAGCACGAGGCCGATCGGCAGCACCAGAGAGGTCCCCTCGGGCAGCATGACAACGAACTGCATGACGAGCAGCGACACGAACCATACCAGCAGCCCACGCAGCTCAGATCGATTGAGGATGTCCATGTTGCCACGATCGAAGGGCCAAACAGCGAATTGCAGCGCCAGGCACACACTGGCGACCACAGTCCAGCCGAGCAGCTGCTGGCGGGGCTGCGCCGTCGCTTGTTGTGCTATCAACAGCACAAGTACACGCCTCATGACCAGCACAAAATCCCAATAGTAGAAGTTCTTGCGATATGCCGCATACATGAAGCCCACCCTTCTACGCGTGTGATAGTCCTGCAGGCGGTCTCTGTGCCGCCACAGAAACGCCACGCCACACACCACTGGTGCGAGCGTCCACAATAACAGGCCAGCCACAGCAACCCACAAGAACGGGGCATGCTCGGCAGATCCACACAGAACATGGGAATCGAGGTCCATTCTCGGCCGCATGTCATGCATCGGGTCGGTCGGCAGCAGGCTGACACTCTCGCCTGAGGCAATAGGGATAGGGGAACCCACATAGGGGAAAGGCCGGCAGCGCAGGAGGGCCAGCATGCTCTTGGTCACGGTGGGATGGATAAACGTGAGGATGACGACCATTATGGTCCCCCGGTTATCCAGCCATTGCCGCCATCGGCCGCTCTTGTGGGCCTCCGTTAGGGAATGCTGGCAGGAGGGTGGCGTCACTGACTCGGGTCGAAAGTCCTCCTGAAATGTGACTGACCGCTGGCGAGGGCATTGAGCGGCAGGTGTGTCTGCCTTGCCGTTGGCGACGGATGGCGGTGCTGAGAGGGCCCGAATGTTTGTGTCGGTGGCGAGTGAGGCTTGTTTGTTGCTGCCAACGCGCCGTCTTGACTTGAAGGCATCACGCACTCGGTCAAACCCGCTCGCTGCAGCCACGACAGGAGCCACAAATGATCACATGCATCGCCCCCTGGAGTGTGTTCGTGGTTACCAATGATAGGCACAGCAGTGAGCCAGACGAGTGGCAAAGCCAACCACACGGCATTGCGGTACAGAACGCACTTGTCGCCCACATATGGCTTCAGTAGACATTCCCATATCTGGTAGCTTTGAGGAACCCCGCCGGTCCAGGCGAAGAAGCTGCCGATCAGTGAGGATATCTGGTCGCCCAAGATGGACTCGTCGAATACGAGAAAGGCCAAACCACATACCTGAGCACACACACATACGGCAACATCATATACAGGTGATGGAAGGTGGGTGCATGAGTTCTCTTTTATCCGCCATTGCGTACAGCGGTGATGTGTGAGAGGCCGATTTTGATCAGCTGAGACGGCACCTCAGCGCGCGGGGACGACGAAGCCCTGACACACACCCGCACGAAGATCGATCGAATTGAAGCTTTGCGTGAGAGATGGACCTTTCAGCAAGCGCCGTGAGTATGAAGATGGCCATCAGAGTGGCGAGAACAAGCAACACGTTAATAAGCACAATCTGCCATAGTGGGGTACATGGGGCGCACGGCTGCTGGGGCGTCTGACGCGGGAAGCCGGCCTTGCACCGAGAGCACACAAAACCCTCATGCCCTTCCTACACAGAGACAAGGCGAGGAAGGTAAAAAAAGCGACTTTCAGAATGATGCAGTTGGCTGTTACCGAGCATATGTTCAGCCCGTCTGTCTTGTTAGTGCCTTTGCAGGCCGACGGCAATGGACACGACATCACTATCGGCAACGAAGTCAACCCAGCGCCATATCTAAAACACGCCAAAACATGCACACTCCCTCATACGTTTTGGCGTGTAGATCTTACGTTGTCACTTCTCTTGTGGTGTTGTGAGACGGGCGATCCGACTGTAGCTTCACAGTGAGCTGGAAGAAGCCCGGCAGCACACTCGCATTGTAGTTGATGGGGACCGAGCAGTTCAACCCAGGCAAGCAGTCTCGGCAGGTCCACGCGCTGCGACTTCCATCAGCGCCGCCTTTGCGCACGCCGATAGACCCAGCCGTACACGGCTCGCACGGCTCCTCGCCGCGCTGGTGGCCAAGACGGCAATAGCACTCCTTTGAGCCCTCGTCAGAACCTGTGTGTACCAATGTAAGTCCCAAGGGCTATTGTAATGTGTTTGTTCGTCTCTGACCTGCATCATCGGGGCATTGTCTGCACGTTTGTGTGCCGTCTCGTCTGTTGCTGTATGTGCCAGGGGGGCACTTGGTGCAGTTGATGCCGGTGCCCGCATAGCCGGGCAGGCAGCGACAAAGGACATCTGGGGCAAAGGTGTAGTCGACCTGTCAGACCAGGGGAGCATATCATATTTGTTCCTGTCCTGGGCGTTTAACTAGATGAAATTCACCTCAATTCGACTGGGTACAGCGCAGAACTCCGTGCACTCAAAGCGCTTCTCACCCTTGCCCACTATACGCGCTGAATATCCTGCACCAACGCTAGAATCAGGCAAAAACGCTGGATGCCTTGTGTGATATGATGTGTTGTCCACCTTGTGGGTCGGCCACCAGTGGCGGCATGCCAAACTCCTCATATGAGGAAGTGTCGGGGCAATAACTCAAGTTAGTCTGATTCATTGCCTCCCGACGCACATCCTGACATTTCTGAAAGACACAGACATACACACCCTCAGAGATACACACATAAATCACCACGGCCACCAACACATAGGTAAGTGCTCATCCTAGCCCTTTCTCACCTTGATGGGTCTCAAGCTGATACACATTTCGTTCGTATGCTGAAATCTTAGGTCCGAGTTCTCTGTTAACCTTACGTAGTCGGATGAAAAGAACCTAGAATCGGTATCAATGCTTCGTAGCAAATTGTTGCGTAAATCGACGTGGCCGAGCGGTCTGTCAACAGACATGTGGATCGAACGCAGACTGTTATTGGCCATGTGCAGAGACACCAAGGACGCGGGGATCACACGCCTATGCAGAAGACACAGAGAGCCAGCCAGGGACAGGGATGGCGACATATATCAGTCCTGCATCTCGCCGCGGCTCTCGTCTGTGCTGCTTACTTACACTCCGTCCCTGATCTCCTGTATAGAATTCTTCTCGAGGTTGAGAAGCTGCAGCTGATTGAAGCCTTTCTTGACGCGCAGGCTGGTGGTGAGGTTGAGGGCTCTCATGAGGTAATCCAGAGTCAATATTTCGGGAAGAGTCTCCACATCCACCACATGTTTGTCAGGGTCGAAATCGTCAACCTCCACATGCTCGTCACTCGCATTCGGATCCACCATGCTCATGCTCGTGGCGTTCTCCTGCAGCCGATAGGCAGCCATGAATGACTTCTTGTACCGCCGGAATGGTGGCGTGTCGAGTAGCCGCGTCCGCAGAACCTCCTCCATATCGATCGCGGCCACCCCGTCAGCCGTGAGGGCGCCATGCAGAGAGTTGTTGTCGCCGAAGATTTCATGCATGTTGTCGTTGTATTTCCAGGGCATCAGGAACTGATCGGCCGTCATGTTCATCTGGTTGCCGCCAAGCGAAAGATAGCGGGTGGTTGGCCAGTAGGGCGGGGGATTCTGCAGCACCGACACATACGCAGCGAGCGTCTCATGTCAGTCTGCACGTGGTGTGAATGTACCTACCTTGAGGATTTGGGCAAGGATGCGGGCTGATGGAAAGGGTCCTGAAGACACAGACAGATAGACAGACAAGTTGACGGGTCGCTTTGGTTCTGTGGCACCGTACTCCTCTCCCTCACTGGCAAGTGCGTGAAGTCCAGGGTCGTGTATTCTCCATGTGTGAAGTCCAGGGTCGTGTATTCCCCATCCCGAGCCGATTCTCTTGATTCGATTGCCACTCAAGAACAGCCGCCGAACTGCTCACACATTCACAGTTCCCCCATCCCTTCCTGCCCTAATGGAGTACCTGTCTCGATCCTTCTCCAATTTGGCGGGATCCGCGGCAGCTTGTTCCTGGATGCGTCAAGATGCTCAAGCCTGAAATGAAGCACAGAACAAGCCGATTCCAGCCAGCCATCGGTGTCGCATCTCCTCAGACAAGTGCTTACGCAGGTGGGATCTTCCACGTGGCGCCTTCCCAGTCCATGAAGTCGTTCCCTCCCAGCCGCAGCTTGTGCAGGCCGCTCAGCTTGCTGATCCATGCGGGAATGAGCCCTGTGAACGTATTGCTCTCCAGCTCGAGCGTGTGCAGGTTCTGCAGGGCCTCGAGAGTGGCAGGCAGCTTGGATAGCTTGGTCTTGCGAAATATGAGCTGCCTCAGCGACTTCAGATGGTTGAAAGAGTCGGGAATCGGGCCAGATACCTGACGGAAACAGCAACACACGATCAAAAAGGAATGAATGCACCAGGGGCGCCCGAGTGAATCGATAATTGCTGTCTGTCTGACCGGTAAGTTGACGATCTCAAACTCTTCCAGTTTCGTGTTGTTGCCGTAGGATGGAGGGATGACCCCCGTGATGTCTCTGCACTCTTGAAGTCGGAAGACAGTGAGGTGCTTCTGCAAATTGAGAGCGGGGAGCGGGCCGTCAACGCGAGAGTTCCTGATATCCACTTCCTCGAGCTCCCGGCAGTGATCAAAGGACCCAGTCAGGCGGCCCGTGATGTTATCGCCGGCGAGCCTCAAGACGCGCAACGTTCTGCACGGGGGAGGGGGACCAGTAGGGCTGTGGTTGAAGAGCGACTGCATTGTGAAATCGAGGTCGGTGTTTATCAGGCTGAGGGACTCCAGTGACGTGTTGAAGAGCTGGTGAAAGGAGGGCGGCAGGGTGCCATTGATCGGGGTCTTGTCGATGTAGATGCCGCGGAGGCGCTTCAACGACGCTATGGCGCTGGGAAGGGGGCCGCTGATATTGGGACACCGGTCGATGTTCAGTACGCGAAGACCGCCCCTACAAATCCGTTCCCCACTTGATATTTGTAAGCAACTCCAGCCGTCGAGATTGCCGATCTCCTCGGAGAGTGTGCCTTCGATCGGCGCATTCATCAGGACGACGCCCAGGAGGCCTTTCAGCTGGTATAAGGACTCGTTCAATGGTGAGCCACCAGGGGGGAACGTCAGCTGCGTCTGGTACACCGGGTCGATGATCACGAAGTATCCCTCAATAAGATCAGGCAAGCCCGTCAGGCGATGTTCGGGTCTTCGCACACCTAGCCGAACCGATCGTATGCAGAGCATGAAAGGGAGCTCACAAACGGGGAATTGAGCGGGCACGTCGCGAGCCGTGATGTTCATGCTCTTGATGAAGGTCCTGAGAGGTCCCTTTGCGTCCTCGTCGCACACCTCGCAGCCCTCGCCGACCAGCTCTATATTCTCGGGTGGAGCCATCCTGTCGTCCATGAGTGGATACCTCTTGAACAGCTGGATCTTGGACCGGATGATAGATTTCAGTGTCCTCGACGAACCATCGGGGCTGCCATCGAACCATTCCTCGTAGGCGTACATCACATTGCGGGATCGAGTTGAAATCCAGCTGTCACCGGCGACCTGCAGATGCCGATGCGGCGGCCGATAGAAAGCCTCCGGTTCTTCCAAGCTTCAGGGAGGGATCGATAGTACGGATCATCCTCATCATCGCCATCAGGCTCACGATAGGGAAAGGAAGAGTCGCGGACAGACGCAGCTCGTTGCTCCAGGGGGCGTCCAAGGGCAAAACCAAGACGGAGCACTTCACCAATGGCGCTTGACGAGAGGAGTGACAGAAAAAGAATATGATAGGGACGGATCATCGGTATGAAGGCACTCAGCTCAGTGCGGATCTGCCACACGAGAGAGCCTCCTGTCGCTCCGATCTCTCCCGCACTGCGCGCTAAGATTGCCGATGCACTGAATGTAACCCCCCGGTAACGTCTGGGGTTGCGCAGCGCAGCAGTGTGTTGATGACTCTTCAGCTGGTACGGATTTTCAGCTGCGCTGCTCTTTGCCTCATCACGCTGCTCCCTGACACTGAGGGAGGGTCAGTGGAGATGCAGCAGTCGACCCGTTCCCGTCCAGTGACGGTGTACTTCCTTCGCCATGCAGAAGGGACCCACAACCTGGCAGCCAAACGACGAAAGCCGGTGAGCATGCGGAGCAGGGAGTACATTCATTGATTTGACGTGGTGATGCATGTGCGCATTCAGGGTGAGTCTCGCGAGTCTGTGTTTCGAGATCCCTCTCACTTCGACGCCATGCTGACCGACAAGGGGATCGAGCAGTCCAAGAACGCCAGCACACACATGCCCGCAGCCGTCCGCGAGGCACTCAACGGCTCTTCTGCATCCCGTCCCCTGCTGGTGCTCACGTCCACCCTCAGCCGCACCGTCGAGACGGCCCGGCACGCCATGCCGGCACTCAAGAGCGTTACAGCAATCGAGCATCTGCGGGAGTGGGGCGGTGCCCACGTGTGTGACGGTCGCATGCGGCTCAGCGACTTCAAGGCCAAGTACGAAGGGCTATTTGATGGCGGGTTCCGCGTAATTGGAGACGACGAGGAGGATCCGCTGGGCCCATCAGCCCCTCGCGAGAAGCGTGCTGATGTGGAGCGGCGGTGCGGTAAGTTCCTCGAGACGCTCGAGCGGCTGCTAGACGAGAAGGATGCGGCGGGAGAGGACCCTGTGGTGGTGGTGGTCAGCCACAGCGCATTCCTGCGGCATCTGTTTGCCTACGTGGGCGTCTTCGATCCACCGTCGAGGGGCCTCAAGAACTGCGAGTGGCGCGAGGCAAACCTCTCCCTCCCCGTCACCGACGCTCCACCAGAGAGCCCTGTGAGTCCCATCCCGCTGTCACGTCCATCAGACAACAGCGGCGGCCCATCATCGGAGCCCGAAGACAATCCCCTGCCTCACGGCCCTCACGCCAAGCACTACCGGGTGCCGCTCGACACGCTGCTTGAGATGGACATCACCGAACCGTGCTCACTGCTCACACTCCCGCCGCTCTCACCAGCCAGCGATGAGGACACCCCTGCTCGGGAGACGCCTGAGAGCACCTCATGCGATTCCCTGTCCAACGCCCACAGCCGGCTGCGGGGGTGGATGACGCGTCACGAGTATCTAGAGGCCGGCAGCCCGCGCAAGGCGCAGGAGTCGCTCAAGGGCAGCATGGGTCGGCAGCTCAAGGCCGTCGACGCCACCAGCTGCCTCAGTGCCGTCGAGGGAGAGGACGTCGCCAACGGCATCGTGCCGTGTGCGTGGGAGGTGGTAGCCAAGGAGAGGGTGCACCGACAGACGTGTGTGCTGCTGGTGCTGGCTGGTTCGCCTGGTGCGGGTGTGTTGGAGGCTGGCAGCGAGGCTGATAGGGAGGTGGAGTGTGTGCGGGAGATTCTGAGGAGCACTGCGGGGGCTGACGAGGTGTATAGGGTGGACGTGGAGATCTTCTGAGGGGGCTGGGTGTGTGGGGATGGACAGTTTTGATTGTGTTGATGTGGGTGCCTGCGTGTCGATATCTCTATTGCTAGTCTGCCAGTGGGGGTCTACTCATTGCATAGGAGGACGGCCGACATTGAATGAGCCTTTCTTCGTGTTGATGAAACGACGACAACGCAAATGTCCTGCAGTCAGTCCCACACACGCCAAAGGCACCCACATGTCGATAAAGCGAGCACACACACACACAAACACACACACCACACACGAACGCATCAGCAGGAACCCAGCATCACCGCATGCATGGCGTACCAATGCATGTCTGTACGCCACGTCTGCGTATGTACACCATACCACACCCACCAAGTAGCTGAGGGCTGTACAGCTTTGGGTCGGTTTGGTTGGTCGATGCATGCAAAAGGCCAAAACGCGTGCGCAAAAAGAGAAGCGCAAAAAAGCTCAACCGATCCTGACTCGATCCCATCCGGCAGCAGCGGCAGACACCGGTCCGGTCCATGTCATGTATTCTATTCAAAAATGGCAAAAGAGCAACGTCAGCTGATTCGCCCCGAAAAGATCCTTGAACGTGACGACCTGGCTCGGTCCTTCTCGCCATAGCCGTGCAGGTGTGCACTCGATGCCGTCGCCACACCGACATAACCGCTGCCCCTCACCTGCAGCGACTTTTGCCTCGGCGTCTTGGGCTCATCGCGGCCATCGCCGTTGCTGTCACGTGCTGGCTTGGGGGCCTCAGGTGCGGCAGTGGTAGGTGTGCTGTGTGGGGCAGGGGCTGACGCGTCAGATGGACCATCCCCAGAGGGGATGGGGCCCTTCGTGTGCTGGTGCGACATCGGCAGGAAGACACCATAGCTGCCGTCAGGGGCCGCGTGCATGTCCTTGCTGGGCTTGCGCACGAGTAGGCTTGATCTCCCCTCCTCAATGAAGTGCTGTGCCGACCGCCTGGACGACTTGCCGTGGCGGTACTTGCCTCCAGGGAAGCAGCACCGGGCGCTGCGCTTGAGGCACGTCGACAGGCAACTCTCGACTCTATTGCGGAAGTTGCTTCGCTGGGGAATGGCGTATCCGCGTGTGAAGTCCTTCTCGAGGTCTTGCTTGGCGCTGGCGAGGCCCGTCCTGGTCTGTTGCGAGGACCCTGACACCCGCCGAGCCGCCAATGCCCGGCTGCGTGCTGCGCGGCACTTGACGAACATCCACCTGACGAGGGAGGTGACGCTGAGAAGGGCCGCGAGACAGCCGGCGACCCACAGGAAGAACCACAACGGATTCATCACACAGCGGTCGACACCGCCGTCCTGCACCAGCTCATACCTGCACACACAAAAAGGGCCGCTGTGCGAGGACCACGTGCTGTGCTTGTGAGGGTGCCTCTCTCTCCCTTACCCAGTAAGGCAATCGACGGGGCACTGCGGTGTGGTGATTGCCGTTGCGTGTGAGGGAATCCACAGGGGCCCGTTGGCGTTGGCACACCTCTTGCACGGCGAGTCGGACACCGTGTCCTTGTATGTGCCCGCCGGACACGCACGGCAGTGGCCAGATCGAGTGCGGTAATAACCTGACGACACACGTGGAACGTAGAATGACATCTCCGACTTCTGTGCTGCTGTGCTGTTGGTCTTTGTGCCGACCTGCGTCACATGCGGTTGGGCATGGAGCCGCCTGGACGGCCGTTTCGGTGTAGATGGCGTGTGGCGGGATGAAGCCACACGGCATGCAGCCCTGGATGCCGTAGTGGTGCTTGTAAGTACCCGCCGTGCACGGCACACAGGCCACCTGACACACACGCGCCCAAAACAAAACAAAACAAAACACCACAAAGCACAATGAACCGCCGAGTGTTAAAGTGGTCCCCTCGAGCTCACCTCTTTCTTTGCTGGTAGAGGGAAGTCTGCCGAACCGCTTGTGCTCTCGTCATTGCCGGCCGGGGGCGGGGGCGGCTGTGCATTGGCAGCGAAGTCCAGGAAGGGCAGGCTGGACCAGTTGACGACCGGCGACGATCCGCCGTGTGACCCCTCTGGTGGCTGCTGCGAAGCCCATTGGCTGTCACTCACTGTGTACCTGCACACATACAGCACCAACAGAGACATTCAGGCAGTTACCAATGCAGGGGCGTTTGTGGGTCGTTCTTACCCCGGTAGACAGGATCGCACGCGGCATCCTGGGACCCAGAAGCCGTGGATGCACTCAGTCAGACCTAAACCATTCTCGACCTGGACACACACACACGGGGGCAGATTGCGGATCGATGGGCCGTTCCTGCTCTTCCCCCTGCTCCTTTCTGACCGTGCATATGCGTGTTTGGCTGTGCGAGCACTGCTTGCCCGTCACACGAAGGGCAGTGAACTCCTGAATGGCGACAAACCAACGCACACTACCATGGCAGACAGCGAGACAGAGGGCGCATTTGATGTCTCTTTCTTCACCTGTCGGTCTCCTACATGAGGTGTCCAGCTGCCCGTGAAGGCCTGACACCCACCCTCCATCTGCCACGAGAAGGTACCCTCACCGACCATCTCGGGCCGCGACACCTCCTGCCCCACACTGGCCGCTGCAGCTACGATGGCCTCTGACGATGCATCATCACTCGCTCCCGTCAGCCGCCGCTTTGTGGCGCCTCGCCAGGTGACGGTGCCGACCACCCTCTGGCCGTCCGGCGAGATGTCGCCGCGCAGCAGTAGGCGGGAGTGTACCGTGTGGACCTCAACGCGAGAGTTCTTAAGGTGGTCGAGGGCAAAGAGACCCTCAGTGTCGCTGTACCAGAGGCCCTTCCAGTCGCATGTGATGCCGAGGGCCTCCTTGACGATTGCGGTGAGCAGTGGGCGGTGGAGGACGTCCTGGTGGCCGCCCTCGTCCAGCTCCACCTCCCGAACCACATGCTCTGGACCGATGCCGTGCGCTCGCAGAGACCTGAAGATGGCAGAGATACACACAGATGGTCCATGTGCGGTGTCGTGTGTGGTGTGTGGTGTGTGATGTTTGTCTTACTCGAGTGGCACAGTCTCGTCGCCGCGGGCAGTGATGACCTCCTCCTGCACACACACATGGATGCAGACATTCCCCCGTGTCTCGCTGCGCCCCAGCCCCATCTGCACACCTGTGGCGAGATGTTGAGGTCGGCGACGGTCTTGAGTGGGTTGCTGCCGACGTCCAGCGTGTGGCTGTGGGGCGTATCCCTCGAGTTGGAATACAGATGGAAGAAGGCAAAACCCTCCCGACGGACGGCCGACATGCTGTGGTCGTTGAAGGTGTACAGGTGGGATGTGTTGGACGACAGCGGGGGTCTTGACGACTCGTTGTGCACTCGAGTGGGGGATGTAGACGCCTCGGGAGGCTTCGCTTCGGTACGGCCGGCTGTCTCACTGCTGCCTCTCATGTGACCACTGCAACCACCAAACGAACCATACACACACACACACATGGCTCTCATTCCGCATGTGCTCGCCTGCCCACCTGATCTGAGCAGCGAAGTTCTCTGCGTCTGTCTCCTCCTCTATGTCGACACTGACTTGCGCCCCTGGTGCCGTGTCGCCCGCCACTGCCGGAGGAGTGTAGCTGTGCTGCCGCAGAAACCGTTTGGTCTCCATGACGTAGTCCCAAAGCTGACGGTCGAAGCCGACACGCTCCGGCACACCGGTGGATGGCGTGATGACCGTGCAGTCGCGCATGTGCGCCCAGAAGAAGTCATACAGGCTGCAATGCAAGCATCAACAGCAGACAAGACACCACGTGTGGAATGGACTCGTGCAGGCAGTGATCAGTGTGTCCTTACGCATCGAAGGTGTCCAGTCTGATCTGTGTGGTGGCGTTTTTGACGGTGAGGGACGGCTTGTGCTCCCACGGGTGGTCGAAGTCGGGCAGCAGCTCGAATATGCTGGGCGACCCCCACAGCATCGCGCGGATCGTCGATGGCGTGATGAAGGGATTGCCTGCAGAAGTGCCACAGATATCAGACGTCGCAATTGTGTGGTGCGGTGTAAGTGTACCGAATGTGTAGCCTCTCAGCGCCGCATAAATGGTCTGTGTCGAGCCCCCCAGCCACGGCGTATTCACTGCAATCTGCAGTTAGGAGAGAGGGCGCCATTTCCGGCTGCCTTCCCTCCCTCCCTCCCTCCCTCCCTCCCTCAATCCTTCTCACTCACCCAGTTTTCGATGTGTTCGTTGGCTTCCTTCTTGTGTGTGATGGTGAATGCCTTGAGCAGCAGGCCGCCCATCGAGTGCGTCACGATGTCCACCCTGCCCCCACGGCCCACCGTCTTGATGAGCGTGCGTAGCCTCTTGAGGATCCTCGGGTTGCGAACCGACTGACGCCTGCAGATAAATGGCGGGAGATCAGTAATCGGTGGCTGTGTAACGAACTGTGTACCAGTCAAACGGGAACCCGAAAAGCGTCTCGCCGCGCACGTATCCGGAGGCCTCGAGGGACTCTGAAAGAGAAGCACCCATGGGGGCGATCGTCATGTGATAGATCCTTGTCTGCTTTGCCAGTGACCACCGCACCTATGAGTGTGCTGAGGTACTCGGCCGACTGCCCCAGCCGTATCTCGGGAAACAGCCGTTGAATCGAATACAAACCTGAGAGCATCAGGACCAAGGAAGAACGACATGAGCGGTGGGTGGGTGGGTGTTTCTTGTGCACAGTGCAGTGCACTGCAGCTCAGTTACCGAAGTCGTCTACTGGGGAGAACACCTCCTCTGATGGATTGAGGGGCTCAGAACGGTTCGTCTGACTATTAAACCGACCCACAGCATGCGCCAACAACAGCTGCAGAGTTAGACACACCGATCCCATGACTAAGTAAGTGCTTCATGCATTCCCGACAACCCACCTGATCAGCCGATGTCATCCGCGCCCTGCAAGAGGACAAAACAATTGCATAGCCGACAGATCAAAGGCATCCCATCCTCCCACATGGCCTGCCTTACCAGACTTGGGTGACTTGGTCCGTCTTGCGGTTCCTCACCGACAACACCGACCCACACAGACCGGGGATCAGAATGACAGGCCGCTTCGGCCGCGGGCTGTCCTGAGACGGTGACAGATTGAGCTGCTTGAGCATGGGATCTTTGAGCCGAGCTGCCATATCGGTCTTGTCTTCAGCTGGCGACTCCAGCAGCCACCAGTTGGTGACGTCAGAGCTCGACAGCCTGCGCATGACCAGCGACTCATCGGCAGCGCTGGCGAGCCAGGGTACCGCTGCATAGGTGGCGAGCAAGACGAGCGTGAGAATGTCCTCGGCCGCCATCCTCATGCAGGCTGCCGCTTCCTCAGCTTATGCACATCTGCAGACCACTCGTTCATTGCCGTCGTTGCAGGAGAATTCTCCTCAATTGAACAGAACTGTCTGAAGCTTCACCAGCGTCTTGCTCAATTCGTTCCTGCGGATTGGCTCTCTTCTTCTCCCGATCGCACCAACCGTCTGCGAGCTTAGATTGCTGAGGAGAGGAGAGGGAAAGAGAAGCGGTGCGCGTGCATTTTTGGAGAGCGGAGTGGGGCAGCTGCCAGTGTGTGAAGGTGTGTGCTCTATCGGCTGAATGGCTCAGACAGCCTCCGGCGCGATGGAGAACCTGACGATTGAGGACTGGAACGACTTCATCTTCCTCTCCACCAAAGACAAGATACTCAAAATCATGGTGAGCAGCACCGCACACACCAGCACAGGCACCTGTACGGCCGTGGGTGTGTGTGGCGTGTGGCTGAGTGAGTGAATGTGCCTCTGCTTGTGTGTGTGTGCGCGTTGTGGTCAGCTGGACCCCATGGAGAACCGCAGTGAGGGATTCACATCGCCCAAGATGGGTTAGCGCACGGACGGGGGCCGACACGCACTGGGAGGGAGCGATATATGGCCATAGTGCTCTTCTCTTCCCTGCGTCTGTTGGTGTTGCTTCTTTGACTCAGATGACCAGATGATTGAGAAGTTTTTCCGCTGGCTTGACGACACTCTCGCCACCGCAGCCACAAGTACACTGACTGCCACACACACGGAGATGAAGGACGGCAGCGCATCAGGCTTGTGTGCGGCCGTTTGTCAATGTCAATTAGGCATCGCGTCTTACATTGGAGACATCACGCTGTCCAACAACAATCTGACGGACAAATCAGTCAAGCTCTTCGTGGTCAGCTGCCAACAGCCCTCATACACAATGCAACGCCACGGCGATGGTGTGTTGGATCGTTGTGTGCAGGAGTTCTCCTTGAAGCACAAGCTGCACGTCAAGATACTCAAGTTCTACAAAAATCGAATCACTGACGAAGGTGAGCCCTGACCTGACGCCCAGAGCACCACTCATTGTGTCCATCCATCCATCCATCTCTCTGTTGTTGCCCTGCCCATCCCTCCCATCAATCAGGTGTGCGTGAGCTGGCTCAGCTGGTGGAGAAGACCCCCGTGCCGATATGGGAGCTGCACCTCTCACACAACCAAATCACAGGTACGGTACACACAGACAGACAGACGAGACAAGACACCAGGAGTACAGCCGGTGGACACACAATGTATCTATCGCATGCGTTTTCAGGTCGTGGTGCGACGTTTCTGCTGTCGAGTCTGGCGCGGAACCCGGCATACCCCAGAAAGGACGACCGGTGAGGGAGGGAGGGACGGGCAGCTCGACACCAGATACAGAATGAAATGTATCCCTCCCTCCCCTCTGTGTGTGTGCAGCAATCAGTCCCGCTGTGTGCCGCTGTGGCTGCGGCTCGAGTTCAATCGCATCAACAGACCCGCTGAACGTAACCACCACACGTGCACATCACAGACGAAGTGCATGGTATCTCTGTCGTGTGTGTGTGTGTCTTGCTGCAGTGCTAGAGTTCGTGCGCTCCAAGGGTGTGTGGCTGTGCATGGAGAAGGACCGCCGCACGTGCGGCCCCTCCAAGTGCAAATACTCAGGACCCAAGGACAACTGTAAGACATCTCACAGAACACCCACACGATGATGAATGAGCCATCGCGATGTATCCCTCGCACCGCACCATCGTGTTGTGTCCTCGGTCAGGTCCTCTGGCGCACCTCTACGTGTTCGAGCAGCAGGGCGAGCTCGCCCAGCAGGCACAAGCGGCCTACAAGCAGGGCATGCAGAATCGGGCGGCAAGACTCAACGGCGACGTCTCACACGCATCTGCTTCGGCCTCAGCTTCGGCCTCGGCCTCAGCCTCCAGCGGCACCACTCCCAAGACCACCACCCCGGCCCCCAGAACGTTCGCTGCCCACCCCGCTTTACCCAAGACCACAGCCCCATCGCGTCCATCGGCACCCGCACGACCACCGAGTGTGCCGTCGCCGGCCACTAGACCCGCCATGGCGCCAACACGGTGGTCATCGGGCAGCGGGCTGAGACCATCTGGCGGCAACGCCTGGGGTCAGGAGATCACCTTGGCCGAGCGCATCCAAGCGGCCAACCTGGGGGCTGTGCCACCATCCCACGGCTTCATCGACGAGAGCGACGTCCAAGTACCCACGGCTGCGTCAGGCCGCAGAGACGAGTGGCGTGCTGTCGGGTCGCCAATGCAGCGCAATGGGCCGACCCCGGCACCCCGCCCCGGCCCGCCCAACGGCTACAATCCTCACGACGCTCAGCAGCAACAGCCGCAGGCCCATGCCCATGCAGCACGTGACGAGGCCGATGAGGAGGAGGAGGACGACTGGGGCTTCAACGTCGTTGGCATCCCTGAGGGCGAGTATGGCGCTGAGGACGTCAGCGGCGCTGCTCATGGAGGGTTTGTACTCAGTGGTCCGTCTGCTGCTGCTGTCCCACCGACCTACTCGCCGCCCAAGTTTGGCACCGGATTCGGTCAGGCTGCCGAGCCGTCGTACGGGGCCGCTCCAGGTGCACCGCTGCACGCGCCGGGGCCATACCAGCAGCCGCCTGCCCAGCACATCAAGACCGTAGCGAATGGGAGCTCGGGTCGGCATGAGGGTGACCTCTTCATCCCTCCACGGCCCGCGTTCCCCCCTCCCCGCCCCTCCTACCCACCACCACCACGTCCCGGCACCAGCGCACCAACAGCCCCGTCTGGCCCATCGGCTGCTCCTGGCCCAGCTGCTAGTGCTGCTGCTGCTCCTGCTCCTGCTCCTGCTGCAGGTGGTGGTTATGGTGGCCCATCGTCATTCGCCGAGAGTCAGTATAGCCCCGGGCGCCACGGCGCTATTGGCTTTGACGCGCATCGCCAGTCCAGCGGCGGAGGGGGAGGGGCATATGACGGTCCCTTTGGCGGGGCAGGGCAGCAGCTGGGGGGCTTCACTGCTTATCGCGTCCAAAACGGGACGAGTGGAGGCTATGATGCGGCGCCATTCGGCCAGGCAGGCAGCGACATGGACCTGCCCCTGTTCCCTCCGCTGCCGTCCGGCCCACAGCAGCTCTCCAAGAGCAACCGATGACAATGACGCCCACTGCAGCAGTACTACTTATTGCGTGGTGATGACGGACGGCTGGTGTGTCGGGTGTCTGAATGAAGATGGAGAGAGGACGTTTAAGTCTGATCGAGCGGAGCGGAGCGGTGGATAGACGGGGCTGGCTGGCTGGCTGGCTGGCGGGCTGGGGGATTGATGAGTCGGTCTGTTGGGCGGGTGCATTCATGCCACATTCATTGTGCCAGTACTCTTTTTACTCGTGTGGTGTGTGGAGGGGGGACGGGAGAGACAGAGGGGAGGGCGAGCGGCTGGTGCGGATGGCTGGCTGGCTGGCTGAAAGGGGGACTTGCCTGCCTTGGCCTGGCTGGCTGGCTGGCTGGCTGATATTTGTGTCTATGGGGGCCATCCCGTTGTGGCCTACCCCTATCCCGCCCCTCTTCTGCTTTGTGCCTAACAGACACTCTTGAGGCGTCCTGCGCCCCTAGAGTTTGTTGCCTGACTACTGCCGTGCCCTGCTGTGCTGAGGGCCCTACCTAGATACATGTGCATATCAACCAGGGGGGAGGGGAGCAGGGGGGAGGGGAAGGGGGCTGTGGGCGGCGGTTTCCGGCGAGCGATCGATATCGGCCGTTATGTATCAGCTTGTTCGCGTCAGCATGCGGAAGTTTCCCTCTTTGGCAGTGGGTCCTTGGCAGTGAGTGGGATGGATCCTTCCTTCAGCTGGGGTCTGCCCGTGATGCTGTCTGTCGACGATTGGCGTGGCGTTTTTAAGAGGCTATCGAGTCTCCTGGTTGGTGCTGGTGTTGAAGTGGATGAGTGAGTGATCCCTCTGTGTGGCTTTCTCGTCCGTCCCGTCCCGTCCCGTCCGTCCGTGCGTCCGTCCCGCGATTGTTACGGTGTTTGCAAACTTCAGCTATCCTTGCGGCCTGACGACGACGACGATTTCTTAGTTACCTAGATAAATCTCGGACCTCACCGCCCTGCCGGCCAGCAAGCAGCAGGTGTCGACCGACATGATGTTGTAAGACCATCAGTCAAGCGGCCGGGGCCTTCTGGGCGTTGCCGAGTGGGTAGGGTGCTTCGTTGCGTCTGTCTTTCTGGACGGATGCGATGATGGTTTGTGTGTTGCTGTGCGGATGCAGTGATTGATTGCCTCGTTGTGGTTGGTGAATGTTGCAGTGTGCGTGAGTGCATGCTGATGGACGTACGTCTCCAGGTGCTCTCAATCAGCTGAATTGCTCACGTGCGGATGAGCCAGCCGTAAGGCTCATGGTGCTTTTGAGCATTCATCGACCCGCCGTCTTTCACGTGGACGTGATGTACACGCTGTGCCTCCTGAGCCACGTCCAGGCTCTCCACTCTTGCCTTGTCCTCATCGACAAGACCAAAGACGAGAGCGTGTCTGGGACTGAGAAGGCGCAGCGATGCAATCAACGACCATGTCGCAGAAACACCGCTCACAAACATCGGCCCGTCTCTCTCCCTATCAACACACTGTCACTGCAGTCAGCGGCAACCTGCCCCCCACTCCCAGGCCGCCTCTCGAGCACCCCCTCGTGCAGCTGCTCCTCCGCCTCCCTCAAGATGGCCGACACAGACACGTCACCCCGCTGCCGCAACGCCTCCAGTCGCTGCTTATATTTCCTGCTCATGGGCTCGCCAGCAAACAGGTTGAGAGCGTGCTTCAGCAGCAGATTGCGGAGAGACCTCTGCCGTGACGGGTCGGTGCGCTCCATCTCTGCATCGCAGTAGCTGCCGTACGCAGCCAACACCTACACACACCACACATACAAACACACGACAGATTTCGGGAAGCCACAAGGTCATAGTGTGTTGTGTAGTGTACCTCTCGTCGATTGAGTCCCAGGTTGTCTCTGCCATAGAGGCGCGAGTCGACCTCGCTCCAGTAGAAGGGCCTGTCCAGCACCGCCCGCCCCACCATCACCCCAGTCAGTGTCGGACACCTCTCAAAGTGCATGTCGATGTCCTCATAAGTCAGCACGCCGCCATTCAGCGTGAACCGGAGACCCGGGAAGCCCTCCACCAGCCGATAGACGTACTCGTATATCAGTGGCGGGATCTTGCGGTTCTGCTCTGGCGAGAGGCCGGTGAGGATGGCCTTGCGGCTGTGGATAATGAAGTGGGACACACCTGCCCTCTCAGCCACGGTAGAGATGAACCGCTGCAGCTCCTCAAACGAGTCCTGGTCATCCACTCCGATGCGACACTTGACGGTGGTCGGCCGCCCCCCGCCCTGCCGCATCGCTTTGCACAGCTCGGCAACGAGAGCTGGCTCTCGCATCAGTGCCGCACCGAAAGCCCCTTTGCCAGCGACTCGTTCCGACGGGCAGCCACAGTTGAGATTGAGCTCTGTGAAAGGATGATATGCCGATGCGGTCCGCGACGCTTCTGCGAGGACATCAGGGTCAGATCCGCCCAGCTGCAGCACACAAGGCGACTCGATGCTCTCGGCGTTGGTCGCCAGAGATCGCGGAATCATGGAATCGGCTGTGGCGTCAGCTGCTGCTTGGCGGTTGGTGTAGTGGAGGGCGTTGGCGGCCATCATCTCTGTGTACAGCGTCGCATTGCGTGTGAGCAGCCTCATGAGGAAGCGGAAGTGTTTGTCGGTGTAGTCCATCATGGGAGCCACTGAGAAGCGGTGCATATCCACTGCGGCCGTTGCTGCGGCCGCCCTGGGTGCCAATCTGCCGAGCATTCGGCGTCCGCTGCCGACATGGCGGATCTCGCGCGGTCGAATAAAGCTTGTGCAGAGCTGTAGTTGATAGATCAGTAGGAGTGCCAGTAGCATGGCCCCATCAGAAGCGCAAAATCATCCGCTTTGCCCACTTGCGAGCTGAGCTGCAGAGCATCTCTGCAGCTCGCACTGCTTTGGCTGCAAAAAGAGAGGCCCACGAAGGAGCATAGCATCACCATGATGCCAGTTGTCCCTCAGTGAATCCAATCTGCCTCGATCTGCCCCTCTGCGGACTGTTCCGCGCACTCATGTCGATTGCTGGCGATGGTCCCCGTGTTGGGGTGCGGCAGGGCGTCAAGAGGGACTGGACGCCCCGCGCCAAGCAAGAGCTGCGGCGGATCTGCCTGGAGCGGCTCAAGCAAGACAGGCAGCGGCTGCTCGACGACTACAGAAGGTCAGCAGCACAACGCATTCAACGCATTCAGCACACAATACGTCCAGAGCCACCAGTTTGTGTTGTTTTGTTGGCAGAGTTGAGCTCACACAATCGGATGCGGTGACGGGCAACTGGGTCAGCGGGGAGGGAGGAGGGACGAGGGAAGAGGGCGCATCATGCATCTGGGTGCTCTGTGTGTGTCCACAGGTCCGTGACGTGGCTCACCAGATCGCTGAAGCTGGCCTCGATGCCTACAGCGACAGCATCGCAGAGGCGTCAACCACATCCCAGGCGCCCTACCAACAGGAGCGGCCGTCATCCGCCCTGCCGCCCTCGCCCTCCCTGCCGTCTGTGTCTGTGCGAGAGGCCAGACGAGCCGTCCGCGAGCCGCTGGACATCAGCATGCGGGAGGACGATGCCGATGTGGCCATTAGGCTGGCGGATGATGAGTACATCGACCTGCTGCTGTTCATCGAGCAATCGATCAAGGAGGAAATGCAAATACAGGGTGGGTGGGTGGGGCACGAAAGCTGCCTAACACGAGAGCGCCCGTCACAGTATTGGTGGTTGGTGTGTTGGTTGGTTGTTCAGAGGGGGAGGAGTATTTGGCTCGCGAGGAGGCTGATCTGGACGAGGAGTCGGCCGCACTCGAGGAGGAATGGCGGCTGCAAGAACAAGACAACAGTAAGCTCCCACATGCACCAGATGAGTGCTGTGGTAGTGAGTGTGGATGCCTGGATGTGTGCAGTCGTGTGTCCGCTGTGCGGTCGGCAGACTGTGGATGTGCGCTACGGCACTGTCATGTGCAAGGGAGGCGGCTGCTCCTTCAGGCTCTGTGTGCAGGTGGGTGCAGGGCCCCTCACACACACTCAGTGGACACACCGATTGCTCTTTGTCTGTGTGTGTTGTCAGGATGAGGGCCTGGATCGCGATGCAGTCCGGGAGCGTCTCGACGCGGCCGTCAAGGACCACAGGTGAGATCAGATAGATTCCCACACATGGTCTTCTGTGGCTGCACCGTTTCTCCCTCTCTCTGTGCAGTCAGTACTGCATGGCCACGGCTCGATTTGAGCTGAATGAGGATTATGACGCGCTGTTCATCAAATGCGGCGCGTGTGGGCTGCTGGAGGTGGTGCTGTGAGGACAGCGGCGTGGGTGTGGGTGTGGGTGTGTGTATAGTGTGTTCGTGTATAGGTGCCGTTTTTCAGTTCTCGAAAGTTCGAACAGACAGACAGACAGACAGACAGACAACGCTGCAGTGCACTGAGCGAGACGGTGAATAGAGTCGAGTAGCTGCTGGAGGGTGCCGACTTTTCGTGATCTGAATGAATGCACAGCTGCGTACGCATCCTCTCTGCCGGTTGGCACGCCCATACACCATACATACCAGTCAGTCATCTGCGATCTACTTTGCCGTCGCACCGCAAGCGAGACACCGGTGAGTGACACTAGCCACAGGTTAAAATGAAAACTGTTGGTGACGCAGCGGCGTCTACTGGCAACAAATGCATCTCAAATGGCTGAGCATAGCCGCTTACATGCATTCACCTACTCATGTGATATGCACTGCCTGCACGGGCAAATTAAACGCTTTGTGATGGAGCTGCCTGATGCGATGCCGAAGGCAGCTCCAACCAACATGACGAGGGCGTCATCAAAGGCCCGGCCACTAAACGCACCCCCTCCCACCGTATTGAGTGTAGCTGGGAATGCACATACAGATCCAAACGACCGACACGGAAGGGCTTAACAAACGAGTGAATGCGTGCAGTGCAGGCAGAGGGCAAAGGAAAACAAGGTTGCACGGCCTGAGACCGTCCAGCCGATCCGTACACACAGGTCAGTCAATCGGTCACGTACATAACATGAGGTCGATGGTGTGTGTAGTGGGTGGTACACAGAGGGGTTCAGCAGGTACTTGCGGCACAGCACATCACTGCAAACAAGTGACTGACGGTCTCCCAGTGATCGATGTGTCGATCGAAAGTCCGGACAGGGCGGACAGGGCGCTGTCAGCGGCAGCTATGAAGAATGAAGGACCGCACACACACACACACACACACACGAGGTGGCCAAGAACACAGACACACAGAGAGCCAAGTTGTCACGCCAATACTCAAATGGCTTCCGCCGACGGCCGGGATGGGAAAAGGAGAGCGATGCCGAGTACAAAGGCAGGCGATCGTCATGGCATGACGATGGCACAGTGTCATCTGCGGGGCGCGCAGGACAAAAGCGATGGAATGACGCTATTCAGCTGCCGCACGCTACGCCTACAAGCCAGTCAGTCCAGCTACTTACTTATGTCCACCACCAACACACTGCATTCAGGTAGGGTAGGTGGTGTGTGTGGTGAGCGAGTGGGATGAGTGTAGTGCATGGCATGTAGGTCCGTCCGAAGTAAGTAAGTGTATGGGAAGTATGTGTGTGTGTGTCTCTACACATGAAAACATCTGGCTGGTGCAAACAAACATGTGCGAAGAGCAGTGCTCCTGCGCAGCAGGAGAAGGCTGTGCCTGAGTGGGTGGGTGGGCGTGTCGCGGGCCGCTAAGAAAACCGCTGGATGACAGAAGGAAGCCTGTAGATGAAGGTGGACCAACAATGTGGAGTTAGTCGGTCAGCAGTAAGTCACGACGAATGCATCGGGTCGATCTTTGTGTACTCGTGGTGCGCATGTGTGTCTTGGCGGTCGGGTGTGGTGTGGAACGTGCCGCTAAGCAAAACCGCCAGAGCAGGAGAGGAGCAGTGTGTGGGTGCAGTCAGGTAACCCTATACATCCATACAAACAGCACATGGGGAGTGGACCAAAAATACAATAAGTACGCAGTCAGTCAGTCAGTCAGTAGTGAGTCGACACGGATGCACACGGGCATGGCGTTACGCTCACACCTCTACACGCATCTCACGCATCCACGAACCATGCATGGGTCACGATTGTCACCGCATGAGAGTGAATTCGTTTGTCATCCATCCATCCATCCAGACACACACACCCCGACACGCTGGCTGCATCACAGTCAGTCACCGGGCAGGCATGGGCCTCATCCAGGTCAGGGTGGCAAAGACAGACGGGAAAATCGCATGAAAGCTCATTCACAAATAAGTTAGTCACGCAACCAGAAATTACCAGACAGTGCCAGTGTTTACACCGACACTCTGACAGACGTCACGCCACCCACACCCATGGCCAGCCCCGGGCCGACACCATCCATCCATCCATCCACCCTCCACCAGCCGACCCCCCGCCCCCGACAAGCACCACCACCACCACCACCACCAACCGATTTTTTCGGTCAACGAGAACACCGCCGACGCACATAAGAAGTAGACAGACGGGGAGTAGACAGCGACACACCACACCCACGAACACGAACGAAAAGGGAGTGTCACGACCATACGGAAGGACGAAAAGCAAAGGAGAAAGCAGCGTCACCACCATACGGAAGGACGGAAAGAATACGACAAAGGAGAAGAAAAAGCAATACAATACACTAATTAACTAACAAAAACAAAAAACAGCCATCCTCCCCCGTCTGTCTACATGGGGGCGCGGGGGCCTCTTCTTGTGGTGGCGGTGGGTGGTGAATGGTCGGCGGGGTGCTACTCGTCGGCGGTACACCACACTCACGTGTACACCACACACCCATGCACGCCTGCCTGCCTGCCTGCCTGCCAGCCTGCCAGGCTGGACACAGCCTCTTGGTACCAAAAATATGTACGATGGACAGCCACACGCACAAGCCATCGCCGCTCATATGCAGCGTGCCCTGCCTGCCTGCCTTCATGCCAGAGCGAACCAACACACACGGGCCTTCTTGTGAGTTTCTTGTGGTGGTAGCACATCGGGTACAAACCAGCAGCAGCAGTGGGGCTGCGCAGTTGCGCGGGCACTTGCTCCTTGGCCCCACGGGCAAGCACCTCCCTCCCTCCCTCCCTCTCCTGTGTGGCTGCGCTGTGTGCGCGAACGCTGGGGCATTGGCCACTCGCGGCTTGATCCTGGGCGGATTCTTGGGCTGAGGGGAGGGGTGCACCTCGTTGTCGTCTGCTGTGCTGGTCTGCTGGTGCAGCTGGGCCAGTTGACTGGCGGCTTGGAGTGTGTCGACCCACCTGAAGCAACAAGACAACAGGCAGATGCAGACAGACAGACATGTGTGGCTGTGTGGTTGTGTGGCGTCGTGTCGCCTTCTCTTACTTGTGCAAGATGTGCGTCTGTACGAAGAGAGTAGACGTTCTTCCTTTTGTTGTTCGGCCTTCTTTTGGGGGCCTCTCTCTGTTTTGGCCTTCTTCTGGGGGCCTTTGTCTCTCTCTCTTCTGTTCTGTTGCCGCTCGTGGTGCGTCCCCCCCGCCCACCACACCGTCAGTCACCGCCTCACTCACTGCCCATGTCGACAGATGGGTAGCATGGATGGATGGATGGACAAGAAACACATCAGCACAAGACACCGCGACACACCCACACGACACGCCAGACAGAAAGACAGACACCCTCACGACACGCAACTCAGTTCCCCTCCCCTTAGTTCCTTCCCCAAAGCAGCCCCAAGCGGTGGCCCTCCCCTCCCCAGTGAGTGGCAAACACGACGGCAGCGGGGCCAGCCTGCACATCCCATGTCACGCAGTTGTGGCTCACGTGAGTGGGGGCCGGGATATGAGGTCCCGCCCCACCCAGCGACAGCCACACACTGCCGCCTATGGGAAGGCCGGCCAGCCAGTGCTGTGAATGAAACCAAAGCAGACCACAGTACACACACCATGCAGCCAGCCGATCGACAGACAGACAGACAGACAGACAGACCGGTGTCACACAACGCAGCCTATGGTGGCCACATCAGCACAAAGCGGCCTATAGTGGCCGCAGCACCGGGGCAGTACATACACTTAGAAGAGGCCAGGCCGAAACACACACACACACACACACACACGCACGCACGCCGCCAGATGGACATCACGACCGACAAAAAGAAGACCGACATCACAGCCCCATACATATACAGGTAGGTGTGGAGAGAAGAAGGGGGAAAACTCCAATCTACCTATCATCCATCCATCCCATCCATCCCGACCGTCAATCCATCCACTCGTCCATCCATTTATTTATCCATCCATCCATCTGTCGTGTGTGTGGCGCGCGAAAGAGTGGGCAGGTGGCTCTCCTGTGGGCTGCTTGACGCTCAAGGCTGCATACACGTGACAAAGGAAGGAAGGGTCGTAAGATATCGGCACCTTCTCTTGTCTGCCGTGCTCACCTTCTCTTGTCTTGTGTTGTGTGGGTTTGGCAGGCTGGGCGTGAATGGCCGACGTGTCACAGCCTGCATGGGTCGACACAACGCACAGCAGCCACACCAAGTGAGTGCGTGTCATGGTCCATGTGTACTGTACGGGGGGACTGAGTGAGTGCCGGACGAACTCACCTTACGTCCGGTGTTGCCGCTGTTCTGCTTTGACGACTCACTGTCAGGGTCGCCCAAGGGCTCGCCGGTGGAACCGCGGCGCGACCCCTTCCCTGTTGACGGTCTCTGCCAATCGCAGGACGTCATCGCGGCAGGCGATGGCCTTCTTGAGGCTGGCACGAATGGATGCTGACATACTCCACGGCGGTTGGATCTCGAGGTGCTTGGCGTGCCGCTGGCCCTTGCCCATCTTGACATCGACGAACCAGTCGACTCCCTTCCTGTCGTTGCAAGCAGAGACCGATATCAACAGGGGCCGGCTCTCGGACTGCAGCTCCCAACGAGAGCACTCCCCCACCCGCAGCCCCCCATCAGCTGATGGCCCTCCTTTAGAATGAACCCGAATTCAATCGCCAGAGAGAGAGTTGCGGGGGCGACGTGTGCAGCAGCTGGGGGGTGGATGGCGGGGAGGAGCAATCGCCTGCTGTTCAAGCCCAGCACGGCCGCCCGCGTCAATGGCGAACCCATGTCGCCCTCCGCCAAACGAGCGGCGGGTCGCAGCGAGTCGCCGCCTACCGCTCCGCAGCCCCGCGAGCAGACAGAGGACGTCGACATGACTGCGATGCCAGTAACAAGGATGAGCCGCTGTCGATGACCGATGCGATCGCACTGTGTCGTCCACCACTGAACAGAGCACTTGTGAGTTTTGCTGCCTTGCTGTGGTTGTTGGCGTGTGTCTCTTACCGAGTAGGTGTGCGATCTCCGCTTTGTGTTGTTTCCATTGCAGTATCTCGTGACGCCGTGTGATGCGGATGGCTCGTTGGGGCGGTGGTGGTGTGGGTCATCGGGTGTGCACACCCGTCCGGTGGTGTGTTGGCTGCCAATGGCGAGGTCGTACTGTCTGTGCATGAGGGTGGGGGGCGTCTGCTGCCACAGGGGATGCTTCTGGCACGGGTTGAACTCGTGACGAGCTGCACGCACATTCACAGGCAGGCACAGAGACGATGAGTGCCGACATGCCTCCGTGGTCATGGTCTTGGGGGCACACACGCACCTCTCTCTTTGATCTCTTCCGCGACTGCCCTGAAGACCAGGTCACACTCGGCCACCTTGACGGGGTCCGCACGCGTCCCGCTGCCCGCATCCATGAAGGTGGCGGTGTCGCACGGCTCGCTCACGCCCTCCCGTCCAAGCACACAGGCCAACCTATGGCCTGCTTGACGGCCAGCGCCACACCCGTGGATGTAGTTGGCCCCCAGCTCTACCATCACGCCATCCTCCTTGTTTGCTGCTGCTGCACCAGCACTCGCGGCACCAACTAGCGGCACCAGTGGGTGCTGCTTGGCTTGCAATGGGTGCGTCTGCGTGGGTGTGCCGGCGAGTGTGTGTGATCGGATGCGGCCGCCTCGCGGAAGGCCTTCTTGACGCCTCTTATCGTGTAAGGCCTCGGCACACGCGTCGTGTCTCGCTCGTAGTAGAGCTGGCCTTCGTGTGTGGGCTGCTGAGACCAACGGGTCTGCCGGATGGCCTCGCCCGTCAATCGTCGAGTGACTAAGACCCACAGGTGGATTGCTGGCATGCGGCGGCCCGGCATCTGCAGCGCGGAGACGGCACTCCCGCGGCCTCACACGAACCGACGACCACCTGCACACACACACACGTGACATCCATCCATGAGAGCACGACATGAGATGAGAGATGACCTCCGCCATGCCATGTGTGTGCGTGTGTGTAGGTCTCATACCTTCCTTCTCCCACACGAGCTTTGCGCCGTTGCCCGGGTCGCCCTCCTCTGCCTCCATGGACACCGCCACCGGGACAGGTGACTGGCCGGCAGTGGAACGGGAAGTGGAGAGATGTGCAGAATCTCCCTGGACGACCGGGCCGCTCTCTTGGCCTTCCAGTTGGTGCAGCTTGAGCGACCGCTTGCTCTTGAAGGCTTTGCGACCATATGAACTCGACAAGGACGGCTGATCGACAACTGCCGTGCCCTGGACGACATGCTGCTCGGCGACGGCCTCGATGACCACGCCGGCTGCCCCTCCCTCACCCACATGGCCCTGAGCGACTGCCTTCTGCCCGTGCACCTGGGAAAGCGCTTCTCTGGTCGCGTCGCGGCCCTTCTCCAAATGGGTCACCGATGCTTCGGGCGATGAGGGAACAGGGCTGACGTGCACCCGAGGGGAGCTGGATCGACTCGGGCTGGGGCTGCCGCCTGTTTGCCCTGACGGGTCCATCGATGACCCGTCGTCCGGCAGGGCCTTGGGCGGCACCGACGACACATGCACCGGCCGCGATGCCGTTACGGTCGAGGCCCAGAAGTGCTTGCGAGGGTCGATGACGCCCAAGTCGATGCGCAGGTCGATGAAGTCGCTGTCGGTGTCAGACCCGTCAGACTCATCCTCTTCGCCTCGTATAATGCGCGGCACGACCAGCTCCGCTGAGCGGAGTATCTCCAGCTCTTCGCCGCCGACTGAGGGGGATCGAACCTCACCATACTGGCACACAAACACACACACACACACACACACAGATGCAGAGAGGAGTGACAAGACGTGACACGACGGCTGCAGATTGCAGCACATGGTGAGGTGGGTGTCTACCTTCTCTGGAGTGTGTCGCTTTGGTCGATTTGGTGTTGTCTGATGTGGCACTTGAGCGAGGCCTGCAGCACGCCGAGCGGCAGAGTGGCCACCACATACCGACAACGAGACACCTGACAGACACACAGACACACACAGTCCATCCCTCCCTCCCTCCCTCCGCTCTCACCTTTTTTCAACGACTGCGCGTCGTGGGCGAGGGTGATCTCCATCTTGCTGTGCCCCTGTCGGCGTGCTACGCCACACTCGACACAGGACAGCAAAATGCACCTCGCCCTTGCCCTCCGCGATCTCGGCAATCAGGGGCTCATGAAGTCCATCCGGTAATCGTGGAGTGCTGAAGAGCTTGACAATGAGCTCGGTGAGGCCGGTGGCATCCCTCCCGAAGCCTCCATTCAACGCCACGGCGACCAGGTGCTCGTCGTACTCGCGGATCTTGCGGACGTCCTCTGCAGAAGACGCGGCAGTGGCGGCACGCGCAGCATGATGCTGATGCTGGGATGAGGTGGACACGCCCATGGCTGGTGTCCCATGGCTCAGATCTCTGGTGCAGGCTGTCTGTAGCTACCCCTCTGGCCCTTCCTGTGCCGCCCCCGCCCCCCCTTGACCGGCACCTCCTCGATCGCCACGTCATCGTCTTGCTCCATGCCCTCATCGCTGTCTTGATAGAGGTCGGGGTCATCGAGGTCCAGACCCTCCGACTAGCCATCGCCATTCTCATACACCGAGATGCTGATGCTGGTCCACTGCTCTGTGTTCTGTTACAGCTGCTGGTTGCTCGGCTAGTCAGATCCCATGGCTCGCTGATGTGGTCCGACGCACCCGACTTGCCGTCCGTCACAGACTGGTCGTAGTCCTTCGGAGGCGCCAGCGGGGGCACGACGTCGTCCTCATCGGGCGCCCCGTCAGGCGAGACGCCGCAAGTCCATCTGCCCTTCCGCCCTCTCTGTTGCTGCTGGGCACGCGCACTCCTGTTGATGAAGTCCTTGAGCCGATGCAGTGACGGGTCGATGTCGTCGTCGAGAGCCTTGCCGCTCTTGCGCTGGCGCTTCTTGCTGCCCTTGGCTGCCTGGACCTTGTCGCCCGGCTTGTACTCACCGTCCCGCTCGCCCCTCTGGCCCTTCCTGGGCCGCCCCCGCCCCCTCTTGACAGGCACGTCCTCGATCGCCACGTCATCGTCTTGCTCCATGTCCTCATCGCTGTCTTGATAGAGGTCGGGGTCATCGAGGTCCAGACCCTGCGGCTCGCCACCGCCATTCTCATACACCGAGTCGCTCTCGCCCTCGTCAGAGTACATGTCGGCATCCGAGCTGGCCTTCCGGCCCCAACGGTCGCCGTCGCGCGGCCCCTGCTTGCGACGGTCGCCCTCCGTCCGCCCCTCCTCCTTTGCTGCCCGGCTTGAGCTCGTCCCACACGCCCCCGCCCCCTCTTGAGCCGCAAACACACGCCCACGCACACGCGGATGTGGACAGGACGTTGGTGGACAGGACCACCACAGGCGTGGTGGACAGGACGTTGGTGTTGCTCTTGCTGCTGAGGGCGCTGCTGGCGGCGTCTGCCTCATTGTCGACGCATCCCAGGTCGCCGTCCACACACACACACACACCCCCTCCCTGCGATGGCGGCTAGGCAGTTGCCACCCCTCCCTAGGCGGAGGGGTAGGCATCTGCGATCAGCTGCTTGAGGGTGGCGATGAGGGGCTCCAAGGTGATGGGTGGCGGGGCTTCGGTGGGCTGGGGTGGCTGAGGGATGGTCTTCAGGCACTCCAGCGCAATCCTGAGGTCCACCAGGTCCCCGGCCACCTCGCACTCCTCAGCCTCGATGGCCCCCAACACCTCGCCGAAGAGCCTTCGGTGGGCTCTCTCGATGGCCCTCCGGCCTTTTTTGGGGAATCGCCCCTTGTCCTCCTCTCCGCAGCGCCCATGTGCCGTGTCGTCTTGTTTCCCTATGGTCTCGAGGAGGGCGGCGTTGAGGCTCTCGTCCACAGGGATGAGCCTCTCGTCCGCAGGGATGAGCCTCTCGACCTCGCAGGGCTTGCCCATCCCCCAGCCCTGGAAGCGCTTGGAGAACCCCCGGTGCCCCGCCAGCGCACACAGAGCCACACTCATGGTGACGCCGTAGACGTCAGTGTAGCTGCTGGTCGGGGCAAAGGGGACGTTCTTGGCGCGGGCGGCCAGGTAGACGTAGGGGCGGTAGGGTGGGGGGCTGACGACGTCGAGACGTGGGTTGGTGACGGCGTCCACATCAGAGTAGTTGACCTCCCGAGTGGCCTCGTGGTCGATGTGGTAGGCCGTCATCCTCCCCACGTCCCCAGCCATGACGAGGTTGCCCCCGTGGGCGTCGCCGTGGATCAGCTGCAGCTCTCCTCCCTCCGCCCTCCACATCCTCGGCAGCATGGTCGAGCTGCCGACATTGGGCTGGTTGTCCTTGAAGGCGCAGTGGAGTGCGGGAGAGTAAGGGCGTGTGGGCGGGTGGTCCTCCTCGCTGGCCCCTGGCGGCACCTCCACGAGCTTCTTGGGCTGGCCAAAGTCGTGGATGGCCTCGAGGGCGCTGACAAGCCCCTCCTGGGTGATGTGGCGCTCGGTGGCGGCGATGGCATTGATGACGGTGGCGCTGAGGTCCTTGCCCGGGGCGGCGGCGAAGGCCTTGAGCTGCGCTGGGGTGGGTGTGGTGGGGAGGGCGGTGATGCGGGCGCGGGCGATGGTCAGCTGGGTGAGGTTCGGCGCCTCCTCCCCCTTGTACTCTGCACCACACCCACACACACAAAGAGCATGAGATCCGTCGTGCAGTTCATGGCATCGTGTGGGTGCTTGTCACGTACGCAGCAGCTCTGCGGTATAGAAGGGGCCAGCCAGCTCCATGGTGACCCTCTCGTCACCCGTCAGGCCCTGCCGGGTGCTGGTGTTGGGCGGGGGCAGCTGCACCTTGATCGGGTCCGCCTCCGCCACGTGACCCCTCGACAGTAATGCCGGTGCCCTCAGTTGGCCCGTCAGGCGATCGAGGAGCTGCGCCTCGTCCTCGATCGCCATCAGGGCCCGGTGGACGATGCGGTCGACAACTCGGCTGTCGATGTCGGGGCGCGCCAGCCTCATGGCCTCCAGGATGACCCTTGGCGTCCTCATCTTGAGCAAGCCCGCCTTCCCGTCCACCCACACCTTCAATGTGATGGTTCTCTCATTGAACCAATAGTCTGTCCCGAAGGTGTGGGCGGAAAGGCGAGCGTGCCGGGTGTGGTGGGCTGGTTGGGCGGCGGGCACGGCGGGTGGCAGTGGGGCTGGGGGCGCAGCGGCCTCTGCCTCGATAAGACCTGCACCAACACATCACACCAACAGACAGGAGGGTGAGTGAATGAAGTCAAACTGTGTCCGCCTTCTTGTTGTGCATCCGTCCTTGCGTACCTTCGCTAGTCAGGTCGGTCTCGTCACTCTCGCCCACAGGCAAGTCACTGCTGGGGGCAGCAGCAGCTGCGGCAGGTGCGGCCTCGTCGTTGGGTCCCTGCTCGGCCTCTCGTGGCGGCTCAGAAACGGCCTCCTCGGCCCGCTCCTCCTCCTCGTCAACCTGAGGCTCTGCCCTCTCCCTCTCCCTCTCCTCTGTGTCCTCCTGCTGAGGGGGTGACGCTGGGGCTGCCGGTGTAGAAGAGGCTGCCGGCGGCTGGCTCGTGTGGCTGGTCCTCTCCTGGACATCTCCCTCCCTGCCCTCGTCGTCCCTCTCCTCCTGCTGCTGGTGGGTGGTGGCTGGCGGGGTGCGGCCTTCTTGCTCCTCCTTCACCTCCTCCTCCTGCTGACAGGGCGGCTCGGGGGATGCCTTCTCTGCCCTTTCCTCCTCCTCGTCCTCTCCCCTCTCTCTCTCCTCTCCGTCCTCCTGCCGCTGGTGACTGATGGCTGGCGGGGTGCGGCATCCGTCCTTCTCCCCCTCCTCTCCTTCCCTCTCCCTCCCCTCTCCCTCCCTCTCCTCCTCATCCTTCTCCCTTCCCTCTCCCTCCCTGGCATTCGATGCAGCCGGCACCGCTGGCATGGCCCTCGGGATGGCGGCGATGTTGGGGCGGACGCGGGTGGCGTAGCGCTGCGGTGCTGCTGCTGTCTGTGGGGCACGGTTGGGCGCCAGGGCGGCGGCGGGCGGAACGAAGCCCCAGCCAGGGGCATGCACGGCCGAAGCACCTAGTGCAGCGATGGGAGGCGGCTGGCGGATGTGCTGCTGCATCATGTGCGGCGGGGCCGGCATGACAGGTGGCGCATGCGCGCCGGTGGGCGCCGCGGTCGCGCCATACGGGTCCTGCCGAGCCCGAAGGCAAGGCGGACACACGTACGGGTTGACGCGGGTGCGCCAGGGGGCGCCACGTGTGTGCTGTGTGCGTGGCGGCTTCCGTGCAGGCGGTTTGCACCGCTTTTGAGCGGGATGGCGCTCAATTGGCCTGAGGGGCACTCGGGGAGGGGTCGGCCACATGCAGAAGGGGTGTTGCTGCGGGTGCTGATGCTGGTGGAAGGGCTGCGGTGGGAAGAGGGCTGGTGCCGCTCCATAGGCGACGACCTGCTGCTCATATACGAAAGAAGGCATCGTCGCTTTCTTTCTTTCAAATGAGCAGCAGGCAAAAAAAGACAAGCTCGCAGGTAAGCTCGCAGATCGGAAGAGGAGGAAGAAGAAGGGGATGCATCCCCCTGGTCTGGATAGAGCTGGCACCAGCTCATATCTTGAGTGAATCGCCATTTTTGGTGAATCGATATAGTGAGTGGCGATAGTGAGCATGGAACGAAGGAGGTGATGCAGAGGTTTATGAGTGGATGTCGCCCATCGGTGGCCAGTAGATGCTTTTGAGGAGATACGCGACGCTTGTAAGTCAAAGAGGTTATCCCATCATCACTGCCGCCATGATCCATCATCTATCCCCCTTTGTGTACACTGACTGAATCAGGTGCCGTCTGTTGCCTCTCACTGGTCCACTCTCACCAGCAGCATCTCGGCCGCCACTTTCGCCCTCACGACCATCACACAAGGCATGGCGGCGATGAGCCCCTCCGCCTCCGTTGTGCATCCTTGTGGATTGGTTGCAGGCTTCCTGTTGTGTGTGACCGGTGCGACCCATCGCTGAACCACTGAACGGCATCGGGTGAGCAAAAGGCACGACGTGTGATCGTCTGCCATACGCATGAATGCACTGCAGAGATTCTTTTCCTTCTTCTCGTTCTGGAGCGATAGAAGAGCGTCTATCAGGGTAGGACGTCGACGAGAACCGAACCATTGAATCCCTGAAGCAAATGCATGCATCTGTGCGTTTGCGGTGCCTGCAGGGTCGTGAGCCAGTCGCCAAGCCTCTCCGCCATTGGTACCCACACCATGTGAGAACCCATACACACAGCTACCAATGAGAGTACCTGCTCGCATGCCCATGGTGTTGTGTCTGTATCCCCTTGCCCTGCCGACCGCTACCCCACATCGATGTCCCGCTGGCGTGCCGTGCTGAATCACTTCAACGTCGACGTCGAGGACGACATCATCAACAGGGCATTTCCACGTGAGTGGGTGAGGGAGTGGTGTGAGGGGGTGAGGGACAGAGGTGTGAGTTTGTGGTGTGAGGGGGGGCTGACTGTTTGATTGAGTGAAGTGGCTGATCGCCTTGATGAAATAGAATGAAAGGATGGATGGATGAATGGGTGGGTGTGTGGGTGGGTGTCATCTCTTCTTTATGTTTGTGTGTGTGTGGAAGTATGCAGACTCTCTTGCTGCGTGTGAGTGAGGAAATGACCAGACCAAAGCAACTCACGGACGCATTCAAACTGACGACCGCCTCGCATTGTCGGCAGAAGTGTGGTGTGCTCGCTCATTCGTTGACGCATGACCGCACGGATCCAGGCACACAGTTGACGTCAGTGTCTGCGTACGTCTTTCAAGTCAGCACCAACCATACAACACCAGCACCAGCACCACCCCGAGGCTCTGAACACCAGCACCAACCAGCACCAGATATGATATCAATACGAACCTGACAACACAAGACAATGAAAAGGCCCCTGATGACAATCATTGCCTGTGCCCGTGCAGCCTTCGTACCAGATCTCTAGGGTGAGCGATGCCGTGACAATGGTCTGCCCCACTTGCCCAAAAGCCACCCGTCCAATGAGCGGCCAGTCCTGTGCTATCCGTGGTATTCGATGCTCCTTCCCGTAGTCCATTGTCCGGCTCATGCAGCGGGCAATCAAGAGGCCCGTGTACCCATAGAAGACCGTCAGGAGACCACAGAAGACCACT